GTGCGTGGGTTATCAATTTTTATGATAAATACAAACTGGAAGAGAGTGCTGTCAATTGCAATGCCCAGCACTGTTGGATGAGCACATGGAAGGAAAAAGTAGGATTGTAATTAAATCATCAACAGCTGCAGCAATAAAGTGTGAAATAATAATTATGATCCAATGATTCAGTTACGAGCCCCTTAGTACTTCTCTGACCTGCTGCACCCATATACACAGTCTCACATGCTATGGTCCTCAGCTATGGGGCTGTTTCTGTCCCTCCAGCCCTATTTTCTTTATGTATTTTTGTTTATTTGAACTATTTTTCAATAGATATACAAGTATAAGTTATTATTACAATAATATGATGTTAAGATTAAATATATTGTGTGCTATTGAAATAATTGAGATACTCAGGACTGCACAAGAGCATTCATCTCATGTTCAATGTTTTCTCCATGTTTTCTACCTAAATGTTATTTATGATTGCATATTCTGATTTTCTGTTTCCAATTCCAATTTCATAGGCATTAATGTACCCCCATACCATCAGAGATACGGGCTCTTGAACTGAGCACTGATAACAAATTAGATGGTCTTTCTTCTCTTTAGTTGAGAGGACATGGTGTCCACGTTTTTTTATTTGGAAAACATTTTTGCATCATATTCACACATTCATAGCCGTTAGTCTTGTACTTTTTTGGGTAAACATTGGCAATGTTGTTTTTGGATTCTTGTAGTACACATCCAAACGTTTTTGAGATGCTTTGCTGCCATCAAATTTAAAATGTGGTAGTATTTTTCATGAAATAATAAAATGTCTCAGTTTAAATGTGATATATTTTCCATGTCATGTTGTGAATAAAATATGGGTTTATGGGTTTTTGCAGATTATTGTATTCTGGGTTTCTTTGCATTTTATACAGCATCCCAACTCTTTTTGGAATTCAGGCTGTATCACCAGTGTAAATTTAATAGGAACATTGTGTTCGCCATTTCGAAAAAGGACAGTTATTTCACATTATCACAGTTTCCCTCATTATGTAGAAAGCCTTTGATCAATAATTAGCATTGCAATTATTTATAAGAATTTGCTGTTTTTGCGGTCCTCATTATTGGATAACAACATGCTTTGGAAATGTGGCAAATGATTAAAATTACATGATATTAAAAAAAGTTTGTACCATGTTAGGCTCTAGTGCCACAATTTATTATATATTTTTATTTGGCTGGATGTCGACATACTTTTCAAATATTTAATTTAATGCTGTGCATCATGTTATAGTAGCGAGATAGGACTTGTGTGCTGCAAAAAACAGAATAAAGATAATTATTCTGTTTTTTGCAACAGTAACCAAAACAGCGGCCTTTTCTTCAGTGATACTAATTAGCATTTTTATCTTTCAAGCAGGTACGTTATGACTCACTGTGCCTGTCTCACAACAGAATGCAGTCTGTGCTGTATGTCAGCTGTAGATCCCTTCAAGTGATTTACAGTAAATGGTGTTGACTTTTTTGGAAATGCCAATCTCTGCTCTTTCTGCGTCATACTGGGACATCTTGCCAATTTGCTTCAATGGAGTATTACTGTTCTCCAGACTTTCTTTTTTATTTGCACGACATCCAGTACCTTGGATTACTGTGTATAAAGAAGCACCTGTATATACAGTATCTCACGGGGTCCACGTGTTTTACTTAAACATCATTATATATATGAAATTTGTTCTATATACATATTTGAAAAATTTAATTAGTGTCTTGACTCAGATTGAATGTATCTCTATTCTATCTACATTTTAAATGCTTTTGTTATGATTTTTCTGTTTTCTTCATAAACAACTGGTCATGCAGGGTTAAGGGAAGGACGTGATTCTCACAGCGTAAAAACTGACACAATTGACACAATAGGCCTGTAGTGTTTGGCCTGTTGATCTGTTGTAGTTGTTGCTGTTTAGCAGTTATTTTGATAATAAATGCAAATGCCATCCACCCATTCTCTTCCGCTTATCCGGTTCAAGGTCATGGGGAGTGGGAGTCTATTCTAGCTTCCATAAAGCAGGAGGCCGGATACACCTGAATGTATCCCGCCAGACACAGGGCTAATGCTATATAAAAATACACTAAATGAACTAAATAAGCTAAATGTTAATGTATTATACCAAAATCTCAGCCCACACCACTTTATAAGCTACTTTTGTGTTTATGTGTGTATCTTCTTCTTTTCAAATAAATAGAGCTACTCCACATGCTTCCCACAAGTCCATCGGCAACAGTGGAAACTCATCTTTATCACAACTATAACCGAAAAACATCTTAAAGCATAAAGCAGGACGTACTGTTGTCATTTCAGAGCTACTTCTATCATTTTTGGCATGGAATTATGAGCTCTTGAAAGCCAGTGAGGAACTTGGCATCAGTATTCAGGTAACAATCTGTCAGCTGTACATAACTTGTGATCATGTGTGGAGTTTGTACCTGGCAGATACTAATCTGCTGGCAAGCCAGCAGGCAAAAAGGTATCATTGCAAGTATTTTTAGCAATAAAGCAAGACTGCAGACTCCTAATGACTGAATCATCTGTTTGTATTTTTAATGTTCTACTTTTGATAAATTTTGACATTTTAAGCATTAAAAGCCCATTTCGGGTGCATCATTCCTCATCTAAAAGCAGAGACCTCTTTTTTTCTGTATGTTTGTTCAGCCACTCGTCATCTGTTGAGATTTGTTTTTAAATATGCAACCCCCTGGATATGTTAAGATGCTGTTTCTGTGATTACAGCATTGTGTTCAGACAAAGGGCTGCAAATTCTTTTTTTTATTTATACTCTGTGACTCATTGTGGTCCATAACCAACGGGGCAAACAGAAAACATCTTTGGGAATCTTCCTCAGGGATTTCCACAATGTCAACTCTTTCACAGATGTTCATCTTCAAAGACACAATGCCTCTTGCTTTAAAGGGCTAAGCCAGCAAGGACACACAAAAAGAAAACAAAGACACTTTTTGACTTCATAAAGTTAGAGGAAGTTATTAGTTACCAGTTCATTCAGATTTATTTTTTATTTTTTACATTTCCATTGCAGAAGCTCCTGGATGAGCTTCACCTCTTGAGGTGCTGAAGTCAGTTGTGCACTAGATGGCACCTCTGGACAACCAGACACCTCCAAAGCTCAGTCTGCATAGCCAGCAATAAGTCCAACTTGTTCCCGGTGGGTGTTGGACTCCACCAGGGCTAGTCAGGTGGCTTCCACCTGGGTGGTCTCAGAATCTCATCTTTGCTTTTCACAGATGATGTGGTTCTGCTGGCTTCATCAGGTGGTGGCTTCCACCTGGCCCTCGCGGTCTATGTGGGCCGGGTCCTCAGATGGTCGGGTAGGCCGGAAGTAAACGGCTGTGAAATTGGACAGTCTAACCTTCAGATTTGTGTCACCGCTGTCTTGGTGGAGTTTAATCAACTCAGCCGTCTGCTCTTGGCTATCTAAAATATAACAGGACACTGGTGTAAATTCTCAACTGTCTCACACTTCTGTTTAATCAGTTTTCTATTTGATGTTTATTCAGCTGTGTGAAAACCACCCGAGGGATAATTAAGTTTTATTTTATCTAATCTAACAACTTTAATCTCAGCCAAACTGATTCACTCATGAACAAATAAAACACTGAAAAAAGCCAAACAATAACATTTTTAGGTTGTCTAAGTGAATTATATATTACGTTTAACCTGAGTAGCAAAAGTCTGCGGTGATCTGAAAATGATGTGCTGGGAGTTGTGCCGTTCTCGGCAGCTCTAGTGACCCTCGAGCTGGCGGATAGCAGACGTCTCCGAAAATGTCAGAGCACTTTTGCAAATATGCGATATCTTCATAAACTGAGCAGATATTTGAAGTTTACACAGCTACATTCTCGCCTGAAAATATGTTAAAAGTTTATTTTGTGACCCAGAAAGAGTAATAAGAGTAATATTAAAACTAAGTAGCTGCTGCCATTGTTGGAAACTGAGCTGGGCTGCGCTATGAATTCTGGGATATGGTGGGCCATGAAGGATACACCCGACCCATCCTTCAAATTCTGGGAAAAGGAGGACGCATTTTTCGGCTGCATTCGGAGGAGTCTACGAATTTGGACAGCCGTCGTCGCGTTGCTGTGGCGTAATCGGCCTACAAATGCAGCCTCAGGAGGATGCAGCCCATGAATTTGGACACGACCTATACCAGTCTGTCCTGGTGACGAGAGAGCTTAAAAGTAGCTGGTAGCTGACAGGGATGCCTACTGGGTGAGGCATGTCCCCCCAGGTGGAGGTCCCTGAGCAGGCCCAGAACAGAGAGATTATATGTCTCGGCTCTCATCTCTGAATGTCTTGGTGTTTCCTTCAACTACAATAACTACAACAGCTCAACAGGCCAAACCCTACAAACCACTGCCCCATCCCTTTCTGCCTCAAATATTTGTCAGTAATTCTGATATTTTAAGCACTAAATGACCATTTTTGGTGCATTATTTTTCATCTACAAGCAAAGCCTCACACAGGCATGTCTTTTTCTGGATATTTGTTCAAAATGCAACCCCCTTGTTCCTTCAATTACAGCTAATCAACAGGATACACAGAAAACATCTTTGGGGACTCTTCGAGGAATTCCACAGTGCTGACTCCTTCACAGATGTTCACTGTCAAAGACACAATGCATTCTTATCTGATTCATTCTTTGAATCAGGTAAGATTCAAAGAATCTTATCAAAGAATCTTATCAAAGAATCTTATCTTGCTGATCTGATTCATTCTTTGAATGAATCAGATCAGCAAGGACCCACAAAAACAATACATGGACACCTTTTGATTTTCTAAAGTTAGAGAAAGTTATTCATTAATAGTTCAGTCTTTTTTTGTTTGTTTGTTTCTTATCGTTTTTCATTACAGAAACTCCCGGAGGAGATTGTCTTCTCTTAAAGTGCTGTAGTCAGCTGTGCACTAGATGGCACCTCTGCGCAAACAGAAGCCTTCATGTGTCATTTGTTACAGATAACAGGAGTGTCAACACAAAAGAGTTGATTTTATGACAAAGAGACGAGAGACGAGGAAAGGAAGAATCTGTCCCAGAAGGTAAAGAAAGCACTGAATACAGCAATATTTATATATATATATATATATTCAATTTAAAACTGCAGCTGTTCATTTCTTGGAAATCATCTTGAGAATTTTCCTAATTTCTTCTTTTTCCTACTTTCTGCAGACTGACCTCTAGATCTAGGTGTGCAATTCTCACCTTCAGCACAGTCAAAAAGTAATGCTTGACACCTTTATGTAGCTTTGCTGTGCTGTAGGGTTTTTTTTTTCAAACATGTTCTTGTTTATATGAGCAGAAAACAGAGATGTGCAATCTTGTGAAAGCAATTTGTGTGCACACAGCATGTGAGCATGCCAGCAGGGAGGATGTGGTTGTCACATGGAGATGGAAGCATGCTGGAGTTTGAGGTTTGAAACAAGCAAATGCTGCATGTTGTTGTGCATTAATGCACAGATTAACTAGATTTAAGTGACTTTCAGCGAGACATATGCTTTGTTTAGCTAACTATGCCATGTTAAACACGTTTTATCCAAGTGTTTTTGGTTAAATGTCAAGCACTGTACTTTTAAATGACTTTAAACTCCTTCATCTTCCTGTAAACACAAAATAAGTCATTTTATATCACTGTGTATGCAGCACTGTGTGTGCTATAAAAACAGCATGGTATAAGGTGTGTAGGCTGCAGCAGCATTACCTCAAACACAGTAAGGGAATTCAAAGGAGTTTCAAAGTCTGAACATCTACAGCACATGTAATGATTACATTAAATGGTCTCAGGCCCATATAATGTGTACTATGACCTGTACAACTACTATCTCAAAACAGGGAACTTATCTCAGGTCCGCACAACATCGAGCTTTCTGGGAAAGTAAACAAAGTAGAAACCGTTAAGAGCGATTCAGTGAGGAATGAGACCCCTTTATTTGACTCTCTGATCTAGTTTTATAATTTATTTTCATATATTTTATTTAAGTGAACAAAACTAACTGATATTAAACACCTTTTTCAAGAGGAGTGCACCATAAAGCAGCTTCAACCTATCGAGGATTTCTCTGCATTAACTAGCTCAATAAAACTTAAAATTATCCAATTAGAGAACTTGGATTCCATCGTAATTATTAAGGTTTGTTTTTGCTTCATTCTCTGTGTATGCTCACATACAACAGAGTGTTTGATGGACAAAGGATACTCCTTTAAAGATGACAGTGTTCATATCCAGGGCTGAAAGCATCAATGGTTTCTAAGAGCAGTAATGGAGGCTGTTTACATCCACTGTGACTGACCATCGCTGAACTGAGACATTGTCTTATGACAACAGCTATCAGCCATCTACGATACAATCTTGCAAACCTTTTCCACTCACACCTAGCCTCTAGTGATCTCAAGAAGTCACATGATAGGGTGGGGCAAAGTCTCATAGTGGTTTCACCCTTAACCCTCTAGCATTTTAATGAGCCATGCCTTGTTTCACACCTTGGCTCATGTGATGATCCACATGATCACTAGTAGGTCAATGACCACCCCTAAATAGGAAAAC